TTGGGACATTTTCTTAGAAGGTTCATGTGAATTTAAGCACCACTTACTTTTAGATAATATTTTTGATGCAGACCAGAATATTGAAATTTGTAACATATTTGATAACCATTGTAAAACATATTTAACAAAAGCAATGACTGAAAGAACTGAACTAATGAAAAATATTACCACCAATATTTAATTTTTATGTTATTTACTGTACTTATAAACTTATATTTTTTGTCATTTTTATTTATTTATTTACTTTATATTCTGTAATTGAATTCTCTATTTTTTTTTCTTTTCTTTCTCAATTTCTTTTTTTGTACATTAAGTTATTCCTTAATTATTACAGAATAATGAGAGTAACATTTCTTTTGCTTGTCCAGTATTTTTTCTTTACTCATTTATCTTTGCAATAATTAATTTTTATATATTGTCAGTTGTTGTTTTGTAACTGTTGTAGGGGTCAAACCTCTCCTGTGCGAGAGTGTTCCTCTGTTATAAAAGAGAGAACCAATAAACCTCATCTTATCTTATCTTACAAGAAGCCTTTATAGGACCCTGCAGATAAATGCAACAAACAACTATTCCAAATTGCATGTCAATCCAAGCAGCCTTTCTCAAGATATTTGATTTTTAGTGTTACGCGTTGTAAAGATAGACATGAAAGTTTTTCTTTACTAAAGCAGGGAAAAAATATACAAAAAAAAAATATCAAGTTTTTAATCTCATTTTTTTTTTATTCATATATACAGACAGTATATTTACACTCAATAAATATCAATTCGAGGTGGGCTTCTTCTTGAGATTAAGCCCCAAGGGAAAAAAATTCTCCTCAGGGACCCCCTATATCTACAGCACCTTCCGCCTGGCCAATTGAATCAGTAAACCTGACTGAAATCCGATTGCCTGGATTGAAGGATTTCTGCTTCAAACCCTGGACAGCACCCTTCCATGTGCGGGTCCTGCAGATATTGAAGAAGCTACAGGTGTTATCCGGAGTAATAGGAGCAGCAGCAGCCACCATTGTAGGTGGTCTGTGGACAAAGGAGGAAATAACAATTAGCCATTTAACAATTTCTATTGCCAAGTGATATTAATTAAATTTATTGGGAAAATGCATGGAAAATATGCAGATTAGAATAAAATACTGTAATCTTATATCTTGTGGTTTGAATGCTGAATAACTAAATGCTGTAGAGCCGGGCTTAAATGATTTACATATAGTAAGCTATGGTGATTTCAATTTACATAACTGCTTAATCTATACAGCAATCTTAAAAAAATGGATTAGGATCCATTACTATTGTCTGTGACTAACTGTAGAAAGGGCATTGGATCATTTCTTTTTGGTACAAGTACTGTAGAAGAGCTATATCTAAATTTATACTTTAATTATTATTGTTGAAATCATTAATTTATTATTACTATTGTTTTTGTTTTTGTTTTTTGCTTAATAATTCAAATTTGTTCATTCAGGAATTTCCAGTGATTGTCATGTGGTCAATAAAGTATATTTTCAAATTGACTGTAAACACTACAGTATTGCCTTCTGAAAAATAATGAGCCAGTGATCGGTACGAGAACATGCTCCATACCGACACAATGACACCATATCATACCGCATTATTAGATGTAGTATATTGTTTGTCTAACGATTACTGTACCTGCAAGATAAGTAATTGTAGAAATGCCAAGTATATCCGCTTCAGTGTCAGGGGAACCCACTGTTCCTGTATGTCCAAGGACATATTTACGCTGTTTGGCCTATGGTTCAGGCGTGGCCTATATTCCAATTTGTCTGATGAAAATTCATTAGAGTTGGCAACATGTACTGTACTCCAGGTTGTCTTCAGACTGAGAATTTTCAGACCATTCCTGAGCACTAGAGCTTGGAGTATCTTCTAAAATTGTATCCCAAAAACAAGTTGGAATTTGTCTCTTCCTCAATGGCCATATTGCTGAACTGTCATCTTGGATAGGGTGTCGAAATTCAATGAAAAACAAAAGTTTGCGTTAAGCTTGAAAATATTTGCAGTACACCTTTTGGTTGGTTCCTTCCACATCTCTTCCTAAAATTTAAATTGTAATGTTCATATAAATGTGTATACTGATACAAAATAACATAAATTCACAGTAGAATTCATGATCTGTTTGACTGTTGACAAGTATAATTTTAATGATAGGGGACAATTTCTAAGATTTTTTGGTCTCCTGTCGGCATCGCACTGCACTTGTTGCAAACAAACCATTCCTGAGCCTGTTAAGAGGGTGAATGATGGTGTTTGCCTCTTGGTATTGACTCAATACGTTCAGTATTAGGCCTGGATGACGCTCGGTCACCTCCCTGAGAATTTCTTTTAATTGGGTTTTCTATAAGGCATCAAGGCAATTTTAAAATGGTTGTCCCGGGCGTGGGACAAGTGGAATCGCTCATGCCTGGCATTTTGAGTGGGTGCATGCCTTCTTCTCATGTCTTTTGGTGTTGATATGTCCCCCTCTTATATCTGTCTATACTGTGATTATCTTGTTTTTTTTTGTATCCTATCCTTGAACAATTTTACAATTCATGTTGATACTCAAATGAAAATTATTTTTAATGTGACCTCTAAACCTGTACTGTTCTCTATAATAGAGAAAAGTCTATACTGTACTTTTACCCACATAGTTCTGTAGAGCACTGCCCATCTCTTGCTGTGACCATGGAGGTATCCATGCTGTGACAATGTTGCCAATAGGGAAAAAACATCTGCTTCGAAGCTTCAAAAACAAAATCTTCAGATAATCACTGCAACCTCCTACTGAAAAAATAAACTTGTAACCACTACTAAATGTACAAATTTGGCAAACAGATCACGGATGTGGAATCTGTCAAATGCTTACATGGCCCAACACCCACCCTCACTGCACCTCTGCCAACAATAGACACTCTAAGAACTATAGAAAATTACATTGACGGGATCCATACATGAGTTTGAGCTGTTACATTTATCCATATTGATTGTTGAGTTTTAGCTTTGTGGAATTGTGTATTAATTTGTTTTATTTTACAAATATATGCATTTTATTGACTGTTCTTTTTAACTTCTGATGTTTTGTACAATTGCATCGATTCAGCCATTGGCCTAGCCTTTTACAATTTTGATGTTCGAATAAATAAACCTTGAATATGTATATAGTATATTTTAAGATATATTGTGTCATTTTCTTGCTAATAAAGAATACAAGTAGATTATTTGTAAATCTTCTGCAGCATTTCAATAGAATTTTGCAAATTTGTCAATTTTAAAGGCAAGATGAGTATGGCTTCAGTATCGGTATTTGTAAAAGAAATGAAAAGATAAAAGTAAAAGCATAGTTATTATTACCAGTATTTCAACATATTTCAGTATAAAATTATCTTCTTAATAGAAAGTGTAGGGTTATACTGTTCATGTGTTTTTATATGTAAATTAACTAGCAATGAACTTATGAATTTTCTGTTTTTTGCAAATTCTGATCAATTTCCTAAACACGAAATGGTAGCATAATACTGTATTTGAAGTAGTTGTTTGAGCAAGGATTTTTTAGTATAATTCTTTAGCTGAAACACTAAAAAAATTCCCAACATTAATGAACGAAGGTTCTGTATGATAGCTATGAAAGCAAAACAAATTGTTGTGCAATATTGTGTTATTTCCAGATTTTTCTACGATAATATACTGTAAGATACAGTAATTGATTTTGTTTGTAAAATAACAGGCATGCAAGGTTGCTGACTTTTAAAAAAAATAGAGAAGTGCAAATCTGTACAACATACAGTAATTATGCAATGTGTTGAAGAAATTCATGTCAAAAAATATGCATTCTTATGGGTGTTATTTGCAGTAGATAATGATAATGTACATTGTTAAGAAGTATTAATACCACAGTTGTAACAGTGTATTTATAGTAGAAGAAATAAAATAATATCAACAATTTTAACTTTGTGTTTAATTGTTGTCTGTTATCATTGGCAATTTTTATTATTGTCAGGTTTGAGTACAATATAGGAAATAGAAAGCAAAGGAGCAATTATTTCCTGAAAAAATTGCATGAAGCCCGCAGAGTTGAAGGCAAATTTTGAAGGAAATAATGGTTCCTTAGGCTTCTATTTCCTATAGGATACAAAATTACTTCGACTATAATTGCTTTATAAGTTAGTTGTGGCATCAATCACCTTTTCTATGGGCTTTTATAATCAAACTACTGGTTGTGAAGCAGTTGCTAGGGCCCTATATTATAAATCCATCAAAGTGCTGGTTGCTCAGTGATCACTGCGTGTGCATTAACTTCACATATTAGAATGATTTTTTAGTACCAAGTACACGCACTTACACTCTCTTTGAACAGTTCTTCACGATACTTGGTGATACGGAGATGAATATATTGCTTGTGGTTAATGAAGTTTATTAGGTAGGCCTAACGTCCTGATAAACAATTTTTTAATTATATTAAATTGTATTGTAAACATTAATACGAATTATTTCAGTGTTGCCTTATTTTTTCAGATTTTTTATTTTTTAAGTCAATCACCCTTTTATCTCATACCCATTATGCCTTTTTCTAGGTCATGCCTAGAACAGTCTATAGGCTTCATTAACAAACTCTGTAGCGCAAGATTTGTTTGTGAGGCTTGCTGTGTGCGTTCATAGCTTGGCCTAGCAACAAAATATTCTATCTCGATGGACTGTAGTAAAATCACCCCAGCTTTGAGCTTTTTTGAACACTAGACGCAAAAAATTGGAGGTACTATATTATTGATATAGTGATCAGTAGAGAATAGGAAAATTCAGTGCAAATAAAAGTGATGACGTTATAATGATAGTCCAGGAGCAAAGGCCCATTTACTTTCTGACGGTGACTACAATTTTAGTTGGTATTTTTTGGAGTTTAATAATAGAAGGGGTTAGAAGGGTAAGCATAGATTTACAAGGAGAGGTGAAGAACATTTGTTGGAAGTTTGTATAAAATGTAAGTTTGTTAAAAAGCCGTATTTAATGCTGTATTACAGTCATCTTAAATTCTTCCATGAATAGTAGTCATCGTGAAATTTTCATTAAATGGTTTGGAATGACTTAAAGAATGGTAGCAATCCTTAATGACAGTGAATGAAATGAAAAATCAGGAACACAATTCTCATTTGATAAAAGTTAATAGATTTAGGGATACCAAAATTATTCAAATGAGGCAGCAAAGACTGGGTTTCATTTCATTTCATTTTAATCATTTATTTCAAAATCAACTCAACATACAATTAAAGAAAATAAACATTACGTATTATAACATACAGTCAAAATAATTAAGTTATGTCAATTAAGTTAAACAAATCAAATATCAGTGTATGCATCATTGAAAATGAAAAAGGGGTAAGCAAAATTGGCAAATGAACCACAAATGCCTTAATTCATGCTCTCCTTAATAAAAATAAAAGAAAGATAATAAAAAATTAAAAAAATATATAAAATAATATTTGAAGTAGTTGCATGATAAATTAAAGTTACTGTAGAAATAAATAATCACATTTTTGTTCCATTATTAGTGTACTATTGTTATTATTGCAATGAAGTAAGTGTCTACTATTTAAAACCAATTCATTAAATTCCACAACAATGCAAACATAAAAATCTTAGTAGCTTATTTCTTTTCATTAAAAAGTCCACATAAAAAATGATTGTTTATATTTAAAAATACCATGATGGTATGTATATTAAATGTAATACATAATTATCGGCATGACTTAAATAATAAATTATCTATTAAAGTATCTGAATGATTGTTGGTACAGGTATTTCAAGATATAGTAAATGGACTATTTTCATACAGGGAAGACTGTATACTAATATCTTACTTTACCGAATAAAATTGATTTTTAAAAAGGTATATAAAATATTGATATATGAACATTTAATACCAACAGTTATTATACATATTGCATCCTTGCTAGTTTTTATCAAAAGCTTTTTATATTACTTTCACAGTACAGTATTGTATTTAAATACAATAAACATGCCCCTTTTTCCTCTTCCAACTCCGACTGAATTTTTAATAGTACTGTACAATAATATGTAAAATAGTTCTTTAAATCATAAACCACTCTTATTAGTAATTTTTTTCACAGGATTCAAGTTCAAGTAAATTTGAGCTATATGCTGAAGCTTGCGGTAAACCACGTAGGTAGTTCTGAAAATAACTGTTGTAGTTGAGAAAGTCTCAAAGTATTGTTTGAAGGTTTGCATGGCGAAGTAATAACATATATGAGCTAGCATCCCCATATCAGATTAGCATATGTCAATATAAAGTAAAGGATCATGAGGCCTCTAAAACTGTTTCGCATGCATCTGTGCGTGCACTCTCATGGGGCAAAGCCCATCTTCTTTGTAAATAATCTCTGCCTAGCTATCTCTTTACACATGGACAATCAATGTACAGTACTTCCACATTGCCTTGAATTTTGGCATACAGGAATATTAATTTTTCTGTCTATATAACATTAAAATTACATACAGTGTAAAATTGTTCTTACTAAAAACATGTGGTATGCCTAAATACGGTCTTGATGACATCACACCATGACCCTATAGGCACATATACGGGCATACAACAGAATGCAAATGTTATCATAGGGCTTTACAAAAAAATGACATGGTACAACACTAATAAAATTATAAAATATTTTTGTTCCATTATTAGTGTACTATTGTTATTATTGCAATGATGTAAGTGTCTACTATTTAAAACCAATTCATTAAATTCCACAACAATGCAAACATAAAAATCTTATTAGCTTATTTGTTTTCGTTAAAAAGTCCACATAAAAAATGACTGTTTATATTTGAAAATACCATGATGGTATGGGATTATGAAATGTTAAAATGTAATACATAATTATCGGCACGACTTAAATAATTAATTATCTATTTAAGTATCTGAATGATTGTTGGTACAGGTATTTCAAAATATAGTAAATGGAATATTTTTATACAGGGAGCACTGTATACTAATATCTTACATGACCGAATAAAATTGATTTTTAAAAAGGTATATAAAATATTGATATATGAACATTTAATACCAACAGTTATTATACATATTGCATCCTTGCTAGTTTTTATCAAAAACTTTTTATATTACTTTCACAGTACAGTATTGTATTTAAATACAATAAACATGCCCATTTTTCCTCTTCCAACTCCGACTGAATTTTTAATAGTACTGTAAAATAATATGTAAAATGGTTCTTTAAATCATAAACCATTCTTATTAATAATTTTTTTTCACAGGATTCAAGTTAGTAAATTTGAGCTATATGTTGAAGCTTGCGGTACACCACGTAGGTAGTTCTGAAAAGAACTGTTGTAATTGAGAAAGTCTCAAAGTATTGTTTGAAGGTTTGCATGGCGAAGTAATAACATATATGAGCTAGCATCCCCATATCAGATTAGCATATGTCAATATAAAGTAAAGGATCATGAGGCCTCTAAAACTGTTTCGCATGCATCTGTGCGTGCACTCTCATGGGGCAAAGCCCATCTCCTTTGTAAATAATCTCTGCCTAGCTATCTCTTTACACATGGACAATCAATGTACTTCCAAATTGCCTTGAATTTTGGCATAGAGGAATATTAATTTTTCTGTCTATATAACATTACAATTACACACAGTGTAAAATTGTTCTTACCAAAAACATGTGGTATGCTTAAATACGGTCTTGATGACATCACACCATGACCCTATAGGCACATATACGGGCATACAACAGAATGCAAATGTTATCATAGGGCTTTACAAAAAAATATGACATGGTACAACACTAATAAAATTATAAAATATTCATTATGTACACAACTGTTTGATAAAAGCTAAACATCAAGAAGACTTGTCTTCATCTGACATGTTTCTTGACGATTTCAATTTCAACAAACATGCAACTATGATAAAAAGGATGACAGCAATGATGAGTGAACCAGCAACCAGTCCAACCATGGTCCAACGCCATCCAAATGAATTCTTCATTGGCGTCACCATCAGGTTAAAATTACCGCCAATCATGTTGTAACTGAAGAAATAGATGGCCAGACAGGAGGTTTGAATTTGCACAGGTGCAATGTCAATCACCACTGAGAGACCAACACCTATCCAAAGTTCAGAAACACATCCAGCAATTAACAACCAATAGAATGCACCTGGTGGAGGGGTTGTCAGAGCACCAACAAACAGAGGAGCAGCTAAAAACTGAAGAGAAAGATGAAGATTTTAATATAATACTAGTACATTTGGTGTATTTGAAAAAACAATAGCACTTTATTGTGTGCACTATGTTGCAGTTTTGTATACGATATGTATTATAGATAAATACAGATTACTGTATTTTTGTTATTTATACATATTTCATATAAATTTATGATAATCTTTTAAGCATTATTATTAATTTTCGATACAAGTTTGTTTTGTTTTAAATCATTTATATTGTCAACAATGTTTTTAATTTGAATACTCTTGTGTTTACAGTCACTAGTACAGACGATTTGATGTACATCTGCAGTAATTTTGTGATTAGTATACACAGTAAATTGTATATTGTACTTTGTGGACCTTGTCTTTTTTCTGCGTAGATTGATTTTGCACGGCACTTAGCAAATGCGTACTGTTCGTTACAGCGCCAAAGGACACGAGTTCACGTCCACACCTGTCTAAACATAGCGCTATTGTATTGTAAGTAAACTCGCTGGAGGTTCAGGAAGAACCCGGAAGTAATGTATGTTTGTGTTTCATCGTGGTGGCTTGGCAGTCAATGTGTTAATATAGTAGTAGACCTGATTACATGTAGTTAGATTTATATAGCGCTGTATAACAAAGTCTAGAAGCACTCAACGTATGTACTAGCTCTTACAGTAATTTTCTTTGCCACTAAGGGTCACTTTGTGGGAGGTTAAGGTACTGAAATCAGGAATTCTAGTACTGAGTGGAATTGACCAATAAAATGTTGTTACCTGATTAATATTAATGAGCTTTAAAAATAAATTAATCTGTCAAACACAGTATGAAGTAGCATTCAAATCAACTTACAGAACTTAATATAATTACAATAAATCGTCCAATGGTTCCCCAGCGTCTGGCCAAGCGGTCTGCAAGGATCCCACCAAGGAAAGTCCCTAAGCACCCGCTGACCACTGGACCCCATGCCATGAACACCTCTGTGGGGTAATCAGGGTAATAGTGGTTGAAGTAGTTGTTGATGTTGTATGTAAACACAAACCCACTGGCATTCCTCAGAACCATGGCGAATACCAATAGGATGTGTACGGGGGATTTGAACTCGCGTAGTGTCTGTTTAAAGTTCACTTTCTCTTGAATGTTACCAATCTATTTGAACATAAGACACAGAGTTAATAATCACAATAATTCTTTACAAGCCTATTAATATTATTATCAATATTAGCACAGTGACACAAGTGAGGAACAATCCTCAAGGGCAATTATGCCACAATATAGATAACCAAAATGTAGTGATGAACTAATTTATATGAACTTGAACTTAAATAACAATACAATAATATCCATGTTTTCCTTAAAAGCAGAGTGTTGTTACACATTTCAAAAAAGATCAGGCATATATATGGTTTAAAAATAATAATATTAATAATTCTGAAGACTTCTATAGTAGTGGCACTCCTGTGCTTACCAAGAAACTCAAGAATTTATCAAGATATCCAGGTTGAAAAAAGTATTATCTCCTGAAAATGACAAAAAATAATTTTAAAACTTAACTTGCTCATGTCAGTGAGATACAAATAATTATTAACTTGAGCATAGTAATTATTGAATTGAAAAAAAAGTGTACCCTGTTTTTTATACTGAATAACAAAAACAAAAATAATAAAACAGTTCCATTAATTGGAAGTGTTTCATATTTTTATGAAAAATTATGGGTAAACATTTTTATAAAATACACTAATTTTTATGTTACTTCAAAATGAGCAAAAATAAATGTGTACCGGCTGTTCAGGTTTCCGCTCTTTAACTGTAGTGAACATCAATATACTGATGGCCAAACCTGGAGAACCACTAATCCAGAACGTCCACCTCCAACCCAAGGCATCATCCAGGATTGTCAACAAAAATGCTGAAGCGTATCCAATGAAAATAGCTGCTGTTAAGGAAGCAAGTACAATACTGCGATGCTTCTATATTCAAAACAAATCCATCATTTTTTGATAATAAACTTTAAAATACAATTAAAGTAAAATTTTCTATAATTCTTATTCAGGGGTCCAAAGTTGGGAGAAGCCAAGAGGTTATTAAAATAAGACTTCTTATTTAACATATCTAATTATAATGTACTGTGATTGGTGAGACCCATCACCAACTGAATCTGTGGAGACTATCGATAATACAGTACATTAAAACATCATGAATTTGTGGGAGATGCAAATTTCTGGGTGACTCAGTAACTTTTGAGAGACTGGGGATCTGTGTGAATACCTCCATCACCACAACAGGCTCTGGCAGAGATTTGCAAATATCACTGATTTGAATACCATTCTAAATGGCCCAAAGTTGCATTTGTTCCCATGGTACCAACTAAAGTAATAATAGAGTTTTTAAAGGTAGTATTTAGCAGAGAAGGGACGCTGGTTTAGGGCAAGCCTCAAATAATAAATACTGTATTGTTATTTTCCTGTTCTTTGTTTACCTTTGTGAAATAACAAGTGAGAAGAGACGATGCAAATGTTAGATAGGGTGCTTCACTGAAAGTTAAAAAAAATTTCAGTTTAAAAACATTTGCAATGAAATAAAATCTCAAACAAATTCAGTAATGAAATAATTCAATGCTTAAATTGAGAGTTAAGATTTTGATAATACTGTAATTGTAATTTCGTACTGAACAATTAATAGATTATATAGTAAAATTATTGATTCTTTGAATGCAATAGAAAAAAGGTGGAGACTGTGCTGGTTTCCCATGACAGAGAAGCACCTTGGAAAACCAACTAAAAAAAATATTAATAAATAATAAATTCAGATTCTCAATATTTTTTATGTTTTTATACATATGTTTGGATACTTACAATAATGCCAACGACATACGAGCAATTGCAACCTGCCAATATTCTTGAGCCCACCCAGTCAACACAGTAGCAACGCTCCAAAATAAAACACAACTTGACAGGATATTCTTGCGGTTCAGGCTTCCAGCTTCTGAAACTAAACTTACAGGGACACCCGTAAAGCTTAAAACAACCATAAACAGGGGTCCGACAAGCAGTTGATATTCTAGCCCTGTACCTGTATAATGCCATTTACACAAATCACTAGAATTCAGGCTGTTACATCTGCTGCCATCACTCCAACTGCAGAATTCAGCACCACTTTCATTAATGTTGTGTTTGCTGAGATATTCATTTAAAGCTGATATGTTAGACACGTTGCATATCTTGTCTCCAAATTCAAGATCATTTGCCATGCTCTGATTGGTTGAAATCAGCACAAACCTTCAGGCAGCCAAATTTAAAAATGAAGTGAATTTTTTTACAAAGTATCAATTTTAAATTAATTTTTAGTTTACAGTAGATGCATTTTTTCTGATAAAATGAAGATACAGGATAAAGTTTAGTTAAATCTTCAAGAGCATTCTATCGAGAATAAGTTGTATAATTACGAGAAAATAAGGCTTGATCAAGAATGAAATAATATTTAGAAACAATATGCAGAGATTACATATTTTATGTTGGTAATTTCCATTTCATAATTTTTTTTTTCATTTCATTTTTTTCATTTTTAATTTTTTTTTTCAGAAAGCATTTCATTGCTTTACTTTTATAAAACTACCCCACTGATGATTTTCGTATTTTTAATGTCACCTGACTCCAATAGTAAAGCATAGTATTACAAAAACAAAAATGCTATGCATTGCTAAAACACTTTGTTTCATAGCGAAAATAAAAAAAAGGGGTGATGTGTGGTAGTGATGGACAAGTATGAGGCGACCCATTGATACTAAAAAATATGCGATATCCCAAAAACTATACTTGGCATTGTACTTTTGAAAAATTTCATTTGTGTTCCACATCGGAGACTCCTTCTCAACTAAAAAATTTTTTGGATATCACCAGAAATAGTCTATCATGTATATCAACGTCTCTTAAAAACTGTACATTGATATTTATTGAAGGGAGCCTATACCAGCGAAGGTGATATCTGGACAGTTTTGCTTAGGACCACTACAGTACTCTACTGTTGTGGTATGATAATGGAGTGATTATTTCATAAAATTATAAGTGACACAATACAGTATCTAAAATTTCAAATTTCAGTAGATGAAAACATCAATAATTTCAGTATTTATATTATAATTATGATATTACATTTTAGACTAAATATGTATTTTCACTGCATCTTAAGTTGAATTTTGTTGAAATGGTTTTTATTCAGTTGCTTTAGTTTATTTCATTATCATATTACTGTTACTGTTGTTATGTATGCAAGATACCAAAATATGGAGGTTATGGGTTCCATACCCAGTAGAGTGCCCTGGACCAAGTCTGTGAAGCTGTTGGGTGTTGGGTCCCGATAATGGGGTAGGGGCTGCAGTGAGGTTGAGTGATAGGGTGGAGGGTCTGTGCCAAATGTACAGATGGTATTGCCTTTTAGATTTTGGTTGTCTACAATAGATGATATAGCTTCCAAAAATATTTTTATCAATCTTTTTGGATAAAGGCTACTGTAGTGGCCCAAGACAGAGACCCAGTAGGTGCATCTAGATGTGTAGTACTAGTAGGAATAGTGTACGTGTTTAGCATAGAGCCTACCCGAAAGAAAGATATTATACACTCTCTTATTGCTTGCCCTGCTGTCCCCCATTGTGCTACTACAGGTGGGGGTCATACCGTACTGTACCTGTCACCATGTTTTACATACTGTGGAGGCATGGGATGGGTACTGCTACTGCTACTGTGCATTTTGGTTTAACAAAGCAAATGATTTTGTGAGTGCCAGAAGGGAAGATATCTAGAAGCGGAGCGGGTGTACCACAAACCAAAAATGTGTCTATAAAGTGTAAGTAGTAAAAAGTACTAAGCTGTGAGAAACCGGTGTTAAATCAAGAAATATAGGAGTGAATGAAAGGTGAAGAGAAACATTACCTTATTTACAAACTATGATGAAAAGAACTCAAGCTCTATACAAACTATCAAATTTTCTTTGACAAAAAAACAGTGTATGCCCATATATATTCATGAAGGTGCCTATATATGGTCATGGTGTGATATCTTCATGATTATGCCCTGGTTTTTTCCAAACAAAATTTGATAGTCTGGACAGGGCTTCAAAAACATTGCAAAAACTGAGCGGGAGTAACACAGACCACCATTAATATACAGTAAATAAAATCCAAGTTATGAATACGTACGTGAAAATCAGAAATGTATTTTTGGTAAAGTTTCAAAATTAAAAGAGAAACCCAAAAATAGTTTTACAGTAAGAGCAGAGAAGTACACAGTAAAAGCAAATTATACAAACTACAAACAGAAAGAATTGTACTACCAGTAGAAACAGACAGCAATAGACTGAAAGAAATGATTGATTGGAGACAGGTATGACAATGTTAGACATACTAGATAAACAGAGCCATAAGTTTCAAAAGCAAACTCATTTTATGTGCACTGCATTTTGAACCAAATAATTTACAATAGGACAACAAAGTTGTATTGGTAAGTGTGACAAGTATAAAGGATTGAGATCGACTGACAAGAATGTGGAGTTTCATGACAGGGATAAAAGAAGCACATTTCTATTTTCATAGAATAGAAAACAATGGTAACATTGTCTTACCTGCAGAGCTGATTGAATATGTTAGCTACAGTCACAACTACCACAACATAGACTGCATAGGGGCCACCTACTCGTTGTAACGTTGTTACCTTAGGAAGCTCTTCCTGGACTTCTTCACCGGGATTGATTAGAGGATCAACCTCTAGCCCTGCGCCTTCTACAGCCATGTTGTTGACTACCTCACCAACAAGACTATTAAGACAAAATTGAAATGGAGCACTTGCAAAAATTTTAGTCACTGCTTAAAGAAAAAAAAACCTACCAAAGAACATAATTTTTTGGCTCTTGATGTTGGTTGTCGTGGAGATAAAATCGGTAATGCAACCAAACCTAATAAAAACACTATCATTGTATTCATAGTTCAAGTTCACAGTAGACAAAAGTACTACAGACTAAATTTCTAATAAAAAAATCATTGCCCCAGGGAGCTCACTCTTAAATATTTCTATATGGGGAGGTGCCGCATTTACAGGGTATATTTTCGAGGACTTTGTAGCACAAGTGTGGGAAATAACCGTGGTGAAATTGTTAAAGCCACTGGCCTATCCTGTGTCAAAGTGCCACGATTTTCCACACGATGTTAGCGGGAATTTCAAGCTAGGCTGTGTGGCAAGCCGGTAAGCCCCTTGATAAGTCTACCTTTTTGCCATCGAGAACCAGTAATAATTGCGCCCTCTTTGGCACTTATTGAGGCCTTTTTCCTGTCGTCTTTTACAGCACAGTGCGATTTTGGTAAATGGTACAGTAGTTCAAGTCCATAAGAATTTTCAATAAAATAGGTAGCGTGTCTCATGTCTTGAAGTGGCTGCAGCACCCCCCCCCCCTGTTTGGTTGGTATGCAAGTGAGCTCCAAGGAATCATTGCATTCAGTACATCGTATAAAGGAGTCATTTATTATAAAGCTTAACTTTCTTAAAGGGTTTACAGTTGTTGATTTACAATTAAAATTATCTAAACTGTACGTTACACTGACCATCTTTAATGTTCAACATAAATTATAATCCTGGATTATATAATTAACAAAGACCTTGTTGATGGCTATAAATTCTTATTCTAATAGTAACAATGGGATGTCATGACTACTGGAAAAAATTGGTAATCTTTGGGATATTCCATGTGATCATATTCTTTTATACTTAACTAAAATGCCTAAAATGAACTAGTGTGTTCATTATGGTTTGGTAGTCGTTACTCCTTGTGTATCTTCATTAGACTACATTTCTATGTAGTTATTCTTGAATTTTATTAATGTATTGTTTTCACGATTTTTATTCTTATTTTTATTGTCATTATCTCATGGTAACTAAAAATCTTTATGTTTAGTCACCAGACAGTCAGTCAGACAGCCTGCCGGACATAGAGAGAAATAAAGTTGCCTGTTGATACTTATTCAGTGGTTACTGGTGTTTGTTTATTGTCTGCGTCGGGTGATTGTGGCACCCTCAACCCCAAAACCAGTCGATAATAGGCACTTTACCAAGAGGTGCGGCAATTCGAGTTAAGCGCCCAAGCACAAAACTTTCTGTTGCGTAAAGTGCATTGTAAGGTCAACTACAGTGAGAAAACTGAAGCAGCTAAGACATGTTCTTCATCATGACAGAGGATTTAGACACAAAGTTGAAAAAGTTGCGGAACCAAAGCCACATCAACAAAGCGTTAACAACCCGTTACTTATTGCTGAATGATACGATGAAGAAAGAGGAAGTTGATGCCGCAAGTGTGTCCAAGCTGATGAAAAAATTTGAGGAAGCGTTCGATCAAGTGGAGGTTGCTCACCAAAGAATGGGAGAACTGCTTGACGATGACTCAATTCAAAAATGAGGAACTTTGGATGCACACTTGCCAAGATTTGTTCTGGAAGATAAAGACCATCACACAGAAGTTTTTTGTTAAGGAGAAACCATCTGACAAAATGGTTAATGAGGTAACAAGTGCCGTAAGCACTGATAGTTATAATTTTCCTGGTTTAAACGAATTGAACTGCCGAAAGCTGAAATATTAGAATTTTATGGTAAAACCAGTTACTATCTGGACTTTCATTAATAATTTTAAGATTAACGTCGCTTCTAAGATATCAAATGATAGTATTAGATTACAGTATTTACTTCAGCTTGTGTAAGGGCAAGGCCCACATTTGTATTGAGAGTTTTCCTTTCATAGATGTAGGAGGCTATGATAAAGCTTTAGAGATTCTAAAGAAACAGTTTGGTCAGCCTCATATTATATTGAATGCTTTATTGGATGTAATGGTAAAACGAAGACACATTAATGTAGGTGATGGAGAGGCCTTGTAGTTGCTCGTAAGTGATATGAAGAAGTGTAATGTTACTCTAAACCCAGATGGGTTATACCAGTGATTTAAATAGCACTACCAATTTGTTAAAGGTTCAGTCCTTACTACCTACTGTAATGCAAAACAGATGGGCTAATATTAAAGCACATGAGTTTCTAGATGACTGTGAACCTACATTTTTAGATATGTTAAACTTTACTGAAACACAATCTGAAGTATCTTGTAATATGTGTGGTAGAAATGTTGGTAAAAATAATGATGCTAAGAAACAGAAAAGGCATCCATCGTCCTCCTTACACTGTCTGTCTTGTACTTTTTTGGTATTATTGTCTGGTTTTCTTGATTTCATTCATTTTTCCATAGAGACTGCTCATTGATGACATCTACATCATTGCATTTTAGGATCTTAAACCTAACGAATAAGTAGTGACATTGGTTGCTTTAATTTAACGACCATGTCTCTCATCTCTTATTAGAGCACCATTTGTTAATTTCACTCCAATACCCACATCATGCTCATCATTTTAATTAAGATAATGTTAGGCAAAGATTTGCTGAATAATTACCTATATTAGGGTCTTAACCATGTTTAATACTACCACAGTCCTAGTAGAGTCTGTAGTGAATATTATATTAAAAACAAATGTGTGAAAAGTATCTCATTGTTTGGGTTTTTTTTTTTTTTTTTCACTACTGCAATAAATCAAATGCTATGACTGAAGATGGGATGACGACTAATGTGTTAGGATTATCACCTAGTCATAACATGGTAGAATCCAACATGTGACTCTGAGTACAGAATGACATGATTAAAAAAAATAGATTATTGTTGAATTATTCGTTGTCATGGCTGAATAGGAACCTGAGCAGCATCTATTTGTAACTGTAAATAATAGGGATAATGAAAAAAATTAAGAAAAGTAAGGTAAATTACACACTTTACTGTACAAGCAAACAAATACAGTAATATATACCACAGATAATCACACAATAGTATGTAGTGCCAGCTGCTGGCAAGTGACTGCACAATCACGTGACTGACTCAGTGAACTAATAATGACATTACCGTCCTCATGAAGGTCCTGGGAGGATTGAGCTGATGGAAGGACTTCAGAGATACCACTACTGAGCAAGGATTTACAACTGAAACGGTAAGTCAGTGCTTATTGTTTGTTGTCGTATAGTTAAGTACTGTACGTGTAGGTCTAAATATTCTACACTGAATTACTAGTTTACACAAGTCAAATCCATGACTCTCAATTATTGCCTTAGTTTTGACTTAGTTAGGGGTGGTGGTGTTGGGGGTGAGGTGGTTTTAGGGGTGAGGTGGAGTTAGGGGTAAAGGTAGTGCGATTATACACATCTAGACGTGTATAAGAGACAGCTAGATAAACAGAGCCC